CGTAGATTTTCACGGGTACAGGTATGTAGATCTAGGTGTGTTTGGGTATTTTCCCATGTCATTATAGTTGCGCTTTTAAAGTTGTAGCACCATTTCGGCAGAATCTCATCTGCCATCATGCCGAAACGTTGCTACAACTTTAAAAGCACAACTATAATGACATGGGAAAATACCCGAACAAAGCTGAATACTATACACACACACACACACACACACACAGGCTACCACATATACATCCATTATTAAACGTATTTTTTTAAAAATACATTGTATTTAAAAAAATCATTTTGCAATATAAAATATTCAGATGGTGGATTTTACCTGTAGCCTATTCAGACAGTGTGAATAGTGCATTAATGGGTGCTGCTAGAGGATGATTTTACTTAGCATATAGTTTCTGAGGGTGGAGATTTGTTCTCCAAGCTTGTGGGTTGGTTTCTGAACATTTTGTTACCAGGCTAGCAGAATTTTGGAGGATGTCAAGTGTCGGTGGCCGCCTTCTCCTTATAAGGGCTTCATATGGTCACTAGATCTTGTGTTTCCTCGGATTGTGTGAAACAGGTGATAACATTTAGATACTAGATTCTAATCTGTAGAGATTGGATTATGTAAACTAGAATCTAAACTAATCAGCTCCTCAAGCAGTGGTCACCCATATAGTTTGAATTTCAACTATTATAATTTCCCAATTGGCTTAGTCTGCTGGGGTATCCTGGCAATTGAAGTCCAATTGGAAGCATCAGTTGTGATGGCTACTTTTAGAAATAACTCTGCTTCCTAAAATATCTAGTCAGAAAAGAATTGGCCGAGTCTTTTCCCATTTATATGAAGTGCAAAAACACTCTAATGCAGTGGTGTAGCACAGTTAATCTTAAAACGAGTTACATAATTCAGGCACTACTGATTTAAGTCTTGTCCCTAGGATGGCTTCCCACAGATTTTTTTTTTCTCTACTTCTGGGCCTGCTGCTACATCTTTCTTTCCTTTAAAACAATGATGCAAAGATTAGAATAGCTTAATGCACATAAAGAATCTGAGCCCTTAAAGCATCATACAAATATTACCTCTTTTTTATCAATACAATTTCATAAGAGAAACACAAGGCGTCCTTTTGGTTCTCTGCCTTTTTTTCTAGCTATGACATTCCATTCAGCCTAAGAAAAGAAAGAACCGTAGCTCTTTCAAAGTTGTTGAAAGTGTCTTTTTGACAGATCAGATAAAGAGGAAAAATTGACCACATGCTGATTAAAAATGCACCATAAGGGAGATAAAAATGACTGGATGAGTCAGATTGTGGTTTTTTTCCCCCCTCTCTCTCCTGGCCCTGATTTGCTATCTTTGGTCTAAGGTAGAAATAGAGAAATCTGTGACCTTCCATGGAATATCCCAAATTTACCACCTCTGGTTTACTGTCTTATGTGTATAAACATAACATTGTTACGATAATAGCTCTTTTTCCTTTGCATCAACTGCTCAATATTCTATCAGCATTAAGTGTCAACAGTTCTTGCAAACTATTCTCCTTAGGGATCTTTAAAATAAATCCTAGATTTGTTATATCATTGTATAGGGTAGTCCTTGACTTACAAACATTTGTTTAGTGACCGTTCAAAGTTACAATGGCACTGAAAACAGTTATTTATGACTGTTTTTCACACTTATGACCATTGCAGCATCCCTATGGTCATGTGATCAAAATTCAGATGCTTGGCAACTGGTCCATATTTATAACAGTTGCCGTGTCCCGGGGGGGTCATCTGATCAACTTTTGCTACCTTCGGACAAGCAAAGTCAATGGAGAAGCCAGATTCACCTAACAACCACATTACTAATTTAACAATTGCAGTGATTCACTTAACCACTGTGGCAAGAAAGGTTGTAAAATGGGGCAAAACTCACTTAACAATGGTCTTGCTTAGCAACAGAAATTTGGCCTACTGACTAGCATCATGCAAAAATATTGTGCTAAGCCCTGATTGGTATAACGCTTCTCAATTGGCTGGGAACACATACAGAACACAAAACAGTGAAAATTTGGGGCTCAATTGTGGTTGTAAGTCGAGGATTACCTGTACAGGAATGGCTTGTTTGCTGCTCTCCTGGTGGCTAACAGAATGGATTGTCCTCAGAGTGGTGAACATAAGGTTGAAAGGTGAATGTCGCAGGGACAGATAGCAGTAGCACTTAGACTTATATACCACTTTACGGTGCTTTACAGTCCTCTCTAAGCAGTTTACAGAGTCAGCATATTGCCCCCAACAATCTGGGTCCTCATTTTACCAACCTTGGAAGGATGAGTCAACCTTGAGCCAGTGAGACTTGAACTGCCAGCAGCTGGCAGTCAGCCGAAGTAACCTGCAGTACTGCTTTCTAACCACTGCACCACCATGGCTCTTGATAGTCGATTATGCAACAATATATAAAATACAAATATCTCTCCCAGGAATGTATTACTAATTGATAAAACGTGCGCTGGGCCTACAAAACTACCTCTCTAAAAAAAAACCTGAATGACTTAACATTTTTACACCCCATTGTATCGTTGGGATTAATTAATATAAATAAAATTTACAGATTATGGCTCATTTGGATGAACCAGAAAAACTGGTTTATTTTCCAGAATAAATGCTGGCTGGGGGACTCTGAGAGTTGGTCCACATGTCTTAACAATTGCCAAAGTTGGGGAACACTGCTCCAAGCCATATTAGGTTTACTTTTCAGTGTTGTGTGTTCTATACATGTTCCCAGCCAATTGAGAATTATTATACCAACCATGGCTTAGCACAATATTTTTGCATGATTCCAGTCTGTAAGCCAGTATTATCCCAGAGCTCCCTATTAAAAGAGTAATGAGAAACTCTGGTTTTAAATGAAAGGCTTGAAGCTCTGGGTACCGTGTTTCTCACAAAATAAGGCCGGGCCTTATTTTATTTTATTTTTTGACCCCCGAAAAAACGGCTAGGCTGTCTTTTCAGGGGTGACTTAATTTCCTCCCCCACCTAGAGC